ATTAAAAAATTATGGACAAGATATAGAGATGTTATAAAATATCCACAATACAAGTAACCATAGCTACATGGCAAACAGCAAAATAGGCTTTTGAAAGATTGATTTATATATTTCTTATTTAATTTTATATTTACTTGTGTGTGTGGTTAAATTTCTGATGAGTCCAATTCTCCCTATTTTTTCTATTCTAAATGACTCCTTAAGAAATTGGTTGTACATTATCGTTATGGACATACAACGAAATGAATTTTGGATCCGATTCCTAGTAATCTTCATGGATATGTCTCATTCTCCCTATTTTTTTTTTTTTCCCTTTCTTTTTTCAGCTTTTGATGATGGACTATTTACATAGGTAATGCTACTTGGTTAAAAAAAAATTGAATTCTTCTAATCATAAGAACACACGAACAACATGAGCAAAGGTTCTAGAGTATAGGAGAGGAAAGGAAACCAGAGGGAGATAAACAACAAAATGGTTCTTGCCTGCTGAGTAACTCGTCCTAGGATATTGTCAGGCTGGGAGTAAACTCCTTTCATTTCATTGAACACCACCCCTGGCATTGAGGAAAGATTTAGTGAAGAAATTAGAATCTAACATTTTCTGTCATCGAAGTAGAGAGAATACTGAACACCATGATGAGTGTATGCTAAATTACCTTTATAAGATATGTCTTCTGATGGATCATTTAGTTCATAATGCCATCCCTCTTGTTGAAACGTCTTAAAGTCCTCCACACACTTAGGAAAGAAGACCGCATCCAAGTATACATCAACAAGATTATAAAAATCCTGGGGATAAAAACAAAGTCATCTTCAGTCAGCTGAAAACTCAACAATATTTGCATCTCAGCCACTACAATCTTATTTGTGATTCGCATATCACTGCTTACCTTTGTATTTGTTGAAGCAACTGGGTAGCATGTCCTATCAGGATATGTAAATGCATTTAAGAATGTATGTAAGCTTCCTTTCAATAATTCAACAAAAGGCTCCTTCACTGGGTACTTCCTTGATCCACACAATACACTGTGTTCTAATATGTGTGGAATTCCAGTAGAATCATTCCTGTGAAAGAGTTACAATTTGAGATTTTACGAAAACTACTGAGAATGATATTTCATGTCCTGTCGTAATTATCAGTTGGTTTTTCGTTAAAAAAAAAAAATACCAGCAAGTAATCAAACTGGAAGCCAAAACTCAAAGTACACTTACGGTGGTGTACGAAGAACAATCCCAAAGACCTTATTCTCATCATCATTCGACACGGACATCACCTCCGCACCAGTCTTCTTATGTCTAAAAAGCACAGCTTTTGACTTGCACTCACCAATAAATTCCTCAGAAACCTTCTCGAATCCAAGCTTCTCAGCAACCTCATCAGACACCTCTGCAAACTCTACGCTCAAAGAACAAACAAAAACAACACTCAGCTCCACTTATCGCAATCAAACATGGATTCGAATCTCATAAACTAGAAAAAGAAGAAGAAGAAAAACGCCAAAAGAAACACAAACAGAATTTGTAATCAAACACGAAATTAAAAACTCAACAACAATAATTCCAAGTAGTTTTCACGAATTGGCTAAGACATGGAATTGAAAAACAAAACAGAAATGAAACTCAAACCTGGAGGAGAGTGAGGAGGGGAAGCAGCAACAGCACGCGGAGCCAGAGACGAGAACTTCTTTCTGAAGTGAAGCGGACGAGAAGGCGAATAAGCCGGAAGTAATCTCAAATGACGACGAGGCAGTGAATTGAGACGGTGTAACTTCCTCGGAACAAACGACGAACATGGCGGCAATGTAGAGCGAGACAACCTGTGAGCTGAACGGAAGAAGATTCTGTTGCATACCAGAGAGGAACAGGTGAGAGAACGGAGAAGAACAGATTTCTCCATTGGCGGATTTCGATTGAAGATTCCAGAAAGAAAGAGAGATGGAGATATGGGTTTAATGGGTTGCTTGTTTGAGGATGAGAGGTTTACGAGTGGCGCTGAAACTCGCCGGAAAAAAATATCTGGTCAATTTCTCATTGAGCTCTCAATTCTAAGCCTAAATTAAAAACAAATAAATAAAAAATACTCTTTTTTCTTATAAATTATTTATTCGAAATTAGTTTTTGGTTTTTAATTATATAAACATATATTTATTATAATTTTATTTAATCCTTCAATTATTATTTCCTAATAATTATTAAAAGTAAATTTTATATTTTTATAATATATATTAAAATTGAGTTTCTTTCCAAATAAACAAATAAATATTTTACATTTTAACTGTAACGCCTCAAATCCACCGATAGCAGATATTATCCTCTTTGAGGCCTCAAATCTACCGATAGCAGATATTATCCTCTTTGGGCCCACCGGTAGCAGATATTATCCTCTTTGAGGCCTCAAATCTACCGATAGCAGATATTATCCTCTTTGGGCCCACCGGTAGCAGATATTATCCTCTTTGAAGCCTCAGATCCACCGGTAGCAGATATTATCCTCTTTGGACTTTCCATTTCGGGCTCCTTTTTAGGCTTTCCCTTGGGGGAGCAAATATTATCCTCTTTAGGCTTTCCCTTTTGAGCTCCTCTTTGATCAAATATTATCCTCTTTGGGCTTTCCCTTTTGAGCTCCTCTTTGAGCTTTCCTTTGAGGGGAGCAGGTATTATCCTCTTTGGGCATCCTCTTTGGGCTTTCCCTCAAGGCTTTAAAAGGGGAAGGTGGAAGGTTCCTTTGAGGGGAGCAGATATTATCCTCTTTGGGCTTTCCCTCAAGGCTTTAAAACGAGTCTGGTAGGGGAAGGTGGAAGGTTTCCATACTTTTATAAATTGTGGTTTGTCCTCTCTGGGCTTCCCCTCAAGGCTTTAAAACGCGTCTGCTAGGGGAAGGTGGAAGGTTTTCATACCCTTATAAATGGAGGTTTGTTCTCCTCCCCAACCAATGTGGGACATCACAATTCACCCCCCATTCGGGGCCAGCGTTCTCGCTGGCACTCTTTCCTTCTCCAATCGATGTGGGACTGCCCCCAAATTCGTCTTTACTGGCACACCGCCTCGTGTCTACCCCTTTCGGAGAACAGCGAGAAGGCTGGCACATCGTCCAGTGTTTAGCTCTGATATCATTTGTAACGACGCAGATCCACCAATAACAAATATTGTCCTATTTGGGCTTCCCCTCAAGGCTTTAAAACAGGTCTAGATAAGGTTTCCACACCCTTATAAACAGTGGTTTGTTCTCCTCCCAACTAACGTGAGACATCACATAAACATTTTTTATTAAAAACAAATAAATAGACATTTACAATAATATTGCCACTTTAATGTATTTTTTTAAAGAAAAATTGACGTTGATAAATATTTTTATAATTTAGCGTACAATTCAATTAATTATAAGATGTTATTAGCCATTACGTGGTCACATGTGTACTACTCCTTTACTCCAACTCAAACATGAATACGACATTTGATTGTTCCATTTTCCTAAGTTTACAACTTTATTTTATTGTTTCGAAATAAATCTATAAACATGACTCATTAAAGTCGAATAATGAATCGATTTTAAAAAATTATTTATATCTAACTTTTTAAAAATAATATAATACATCTATATTGATATGGAATCACTGTAACAGGAGTAAGATTCAAATTACGTTGTTGATCGAATATCTCAAGGCAAGAACATTGTTTGAGATTCGAATCACTCCACAAGCAAGATCGATCACGTCTAGCTTGAATGATTCTTGTTAATCAAATATCTCAATGTAAGAACACTTGTTTAAGATTTGAATCACTCAATAAGCAAGATTGATTATGTCAAGCTTGAATGATTCTACCTACAACCCAAACTACATATAATTGCAAATAAACTTAGTCATTGACTAAAAAAACATAAATGCTTATTTTACTATATTTTCCAAGTCTTGTTACAAATACAACCTTAAAATGAAACTATTAAATGCATTCAAAGAGTTGTAACATTCATACTTTAGGGTCATAATTAACCATTATGTAACATAAAGTCTTAAAATATATTAATGAAATACAATAACTCTAAATTACTAATTTACCCAAAATTTATAACATGAAACTTCGTGACATGAATTGAAATTATCAATATATTTCAAGGTTAAAAATATTAATTTTATTTTTAAGAGATAATTACACTTTTGACCTCTAAAAATGCTACCAAATACAAACTTCAAATACTAAAAAATATAATTGATTAAATTCCTTTATTTATGAAAATATTAATAAAAACATTAAAAACAAATTTTATTTTAATTTAAAACTAGAGTGGTTCATATGGCCGATTAACCATAACAACTCGGATTTTTTTTAATATATATGACATTTATTTCTATTTTCTTTTTTATAAAAAAATATTTTTTTTAATCAAATGTATTATTATTTAAAGAAACGAAAATACATAATAAAAATAATTATCAAACGAGATTTTAAAAGCCACTCTCTTCAATTAAACATGTTGTCAAGGTCAAAACACGACACAATATCTACCACTCAAAAGTGTGAATAGATCTGAAAATATTATTACCCAAGTAAACAATACAGAGTTAAGAATGAGAACTAGAATTGGGATCGAACGTTCCATCTTCATTAACATTCACAAAGTTTAAATAGGATATAAGCTACCGATTGAAAAAATATTATCTAAAATATATTCTATAACTAATATATTATCACGGACTAATTCAAACTAGCAATAAGTTGCACTAACAAAAATAATTTTATTAGTTTCAATATATTTAAAAATTGTAACTATTTCTATTGTTATTATCGATATTGAGGCTGTCGATGATATTTCAATCACAATATAACGAGTATCAGACTCAGCTCGAGTAATTAATCCGTTGTAAATGACGGTGGCGCAGGTTTGCATAAATTAAGACATCGTCTACTAATGTTTTGTTCGAGGTGGTAATAAGTGTGACTACAAATTTAAACCTAATTTATTTATGTCGGAGGATGAGACATTTTTCAATATTTTTAGGAGGAGAGAGAGAGAGAGAGGCAAGGATTTGCTCAAAAGGCGAAGAAGAAGAAGAGAAATAAGGATCGAAGAGAGTGAGGTTGCAACGGTCGAAGGCTTTTAGGAGAGCCTCATAATCATTTTGTTCTTCACGAGAAACCCTCAAACCCCATTAATTTTTTTCCCCTTTTTCTCTGATTTCTCTTTCTTCCTTGTCCTTTTGTTCTCTATCTTTTCATCTCGTTTTTTTAATTTCTTTTTTTCTCTTCCATTTCTGTTATTTGACTGAGGCGCTAACACAGCGATGGGAGACAAAAATTCCAGAAGGAAATTAAAGGGAAAGTCAGAAGGAGGGATTCCAAGAAGATTCTGAGCTCCTCAAATGCCCTTTTCCTTCTTTTCCCTTTTACCTTCTTAACAATGGCGGATGATGCCTCTTCATTGACCAAGGTATTACAATGAAACATCCGTTTCTTTGTGTTTTTTTTTTTCTGGGTTTTTAATGATTTCTGTAATCTCTGTCGTCTTTGATCTGCGTCCTGGATTTTCGGGTTTGATTTTGTCGTTTACATTCGAGCTGACACTGAATCCAACTGGGATTTCTTGTTCTGGATTTGTTTGAATCGAATTATTAGTTGTTATGTTCTGTCTAAACTCAATTTTTGAAGGTTTAGCTTGTGCATGTTCAATCCTAGGATGTTTTTGAGTAATTCTATGATGACCCTTTTGGCTATGGGAGCTGAATCTGTTTGAATCTAATCTCTGATTCATGGGGTGTAGCTTTTGCATCACAGTGCTTTTCATAATGCCAAGAAATCGCTGTGGTCTTTTGTGAGATCCCATATCGGTTGGGGAGAGAACGAAACTCCTTTTATAAGGGTGTGGAAACCTCTCCTTAGTAAACATGTTTTAAAAACGGGGAAGTCCAAAGAGGACAATATCTGCTGAGGGCGGTGAGATTAGGCTGTTACAAATGGTGTCGGAGCTAGACACCGGGCGATGTGCCAGCGTGGACGCTGGCCCCGAAAGGAGGTGGATTGTGAGGTCCCATATCGGTTGGGGAGGAGAACAAAACACCCTTTATAAGGGTGTGGAAACTTCTCTATAGTAAAAACCTTGAGGGGAAGCTCGAAAGGGAAAGCCCAGAGAGGACAATATCTGCTAGCGGTGGACTTGGGCCCTTACCTCTTTGGTGCATCTATTCCTCATCGAATATAGAAACCCAAGATCATTAGGATCTAGCACGAGCATGGTCAATCCTAGGATCTTTATGAGTAATTCTTTCTTGTTCAATCATTTATATCTGAATTCTGGGAGCTTTTGCATCACAGTGATTTTCATAATGGCAGGAAACTTTTATTTTAAAGGTCCCTAAGAAATCCCCATTGATGCTAAGGATGATTGTGTTGGTCTTTGCCATGGTCTGTGGTGTATTTATATGCACAGTTTGTCTGAAGCAAATTACGACAAGTACAAAGGTCGGGTTGTTAAGAGTCCAGGTTGTTGACATGCCGTGTTCGAAGCCTACGATCGATCCTTCAGACGTTCCTTTTGTGCACTTTCCTAAACCTACAACATATAGCAGGTAAAAGGATTATCCATTTTGTAGTTTGACTTAAAATTGAAATCGAATAGATTGATAACGACTACATTTTCTGCACGTTTCCAGGGCTGAATGCGCTTGCCACCCGGTTCGATTTTTTGCCATTTTGTCGATGCAGAGATCGGGCAGTGGTTGGTTCGAGACATTATTAAATAACCATACTAACATAAGTTCCAACGGAGAGATATTCTCGGTTAAAGTTAGGAGAAGTAATATATCAACCATTGTCGAAACGCTCGATAAAGTTTACAATCTGGACTGGTTTAGTAGTGCTTCGAAAAACGAGTGCACAGCAGCTGTTGGCCTTAAGTGGATGCTTAATCAGGTACGAACCGTTGTTTTCGTGATGCTTACATCGTTAAATTATCTCGTTTTGAGTAGCTTCCAATTTGGTTTATGATGCCTTGTGATATGAGTAGGTTCTTTGAATACATTGGTTGGATCATGTATATTCACTGTGAGATTCCACATTGGTTGGAGGGGGGAACGAAGCATTTTCTTATAAGCGTGCGGAAACCTCTCCCTAGTAGACGCGTTTTAAAGCCATGAGGTTGATGACGATACAAAATGGGTCAAAGCAGACAATATCTACTAGCGGTAGACTTTGATTATTATAAATGGTATCAGAGTCAGGCATTGAACGGTGTGATAGCGAGGACACTGGGCCCCAAGGAGGTAGATTGTGAGACCCCACATTAGTTGGAGAGGGAAACGAAGCATTCCTTATAAGGGTGTGGAAACCTCTTCTTAGTAGACATGTTTTAAAACCACGAGATTGACAGCGATACACAACGGACCAAAGCAGACAATATCGGTTAGCAGTGGGCTTGAGCCATTACATTCACGCTATGTTTATATTTCATAATGTTCTCAGAAAACAAACATCACGATCGTGTCGATGAACGGTGTCATTCTTTGTAGGGGTTGATGCAGCACCATGTAGAAATAGTAGAGTACTTCAAACGTCGTGGCGTTTCAGCTATCTTCCTATTCCGACGAAACCTTCTTCGCAGAATGATCTCAGTACTCGCAAATTCATACGATCAAGCCGCGAAGCTGTTGAACGGAACCCACAAGTCTCACGTGCATTCACATCACGAGGTTTCGCTCGTTTATCTCAACAAATATCTGCATTCTTTTCTTAATCAGAGATCTCAGCTTGTTATAGAAACGTTTCAGGCAGATATACTCGCAAAATACAAGCCTGTAATTAATGCCACTCTGTTGATACCCAATTTGAGGCAAGTAGAAGAGACAACAGCTAAAGCTTTGGAGTACTTCAATAGCACCCGACACATCGTTTTGTATTACGAAGATGTAGTTAGGAACCGCACCGTAAGACTCAACTCGAACCCAACTTGAACCGTCTTTGTGTATTTGGGTGAGCCATTTTCTTACCAAATTGTCTGTGTGGGTGCAGAAATTAAGTGATGTTCAAGACTTTCTGAAGGTTCCACGGAGGAAGTTGAAGAGTCGTCAAGTGAAGATACACCGAGGTCCATTGTCGAATCAAATCGAGAACTTGGAGCACGTCGAGAAGGCATTAAATGGGAGCCAGTATGAGAGTTTTTTACACGCAGACTTTCGGAAGTAAGTACCCGAACGAAACTCGGGAGGGTGGAGAGCTAAGAAGCTGTATATATAGCATCATCATCTTGTGCCATACTGCAGGAGGAGGAGGAGGAATAGAGACATATCCTTCCTGTTGCAATTTTGGATTTGGCGCAATGCATTTTATTTGTTCTCAGTAACGTTCAGTTCATTCTTTTAACCTCTTCTATTCACATTCCATTATTTTTTTACCTTGTATGAAATGTAGCCTTTTTTTTTCCCATGCTTTTGGAACTCGAGTATTTATTTGTTATTAATTTTAATCTTAATGTTCGAGAGAAAGTAGGAGTAGTAGGTACTATTGGCGACCTCTTCTTGCCCTATTCGAGGGGGTTGAGGTGAGAAACGACATGAATGGGGTAGGGGGAGTCGTTCCCGTTCTCCCTCATTTTCATGCCAGTTGAAGAAAAAGGGAAAATGGTTGGAATCTGAGAAATTGACGAGATTGAGCCCTCATCTCGAGTTTTCATGTTCTGGTGGGATGTTTTTTACGAAAATATTCCTGCTCTCGAATGCTCTTTCAGTGATTCATAACTTCTTTCAACTAATTCATGTAATTTCAATAAATTTTAAATTTAGTGTATAATGGACGAGTTTTCCTATGGTTTTAAAATGGGATAATCAATCTGTTATATATATATATATATATATATATATATATATATATATATATATATATATATATATATATATTTATTTATTGTGGTGGATATGAAGTTGACTTTGGTCAAAACTCGATTGAAATTTTATTCTAAAATTTTAGTTAAATTAAAACATCCGTTAATTTTAAAGTTTATATCTATTTAATCTTTAAACTCTCAGCATTACAAATTTTCATGAATTTTTTATAATTAGTTTAAATTTAGACATAAAATTTAAAAGTGACACAAAATTAAAAAAAAAATTAATTTATATCTAAAAATGGATTAATTTTTAATTTTTTTTCATTTACATAATAATTTATGTAAAAATAAAAAAATAAAAAAAAAACCCAAAATATAGAAATAAAAATAGTATTTTTAAGTGGTTTATTTACTTCTTTATTTTTTTTAATAATAATACAAAAATTAGAAAGGTTAATATTATTTTATCTTTAAATTTTCAAAATTAATAATTTATCTTAAAATGTATAATGTTATAACGGAGTTCAATTATGGTAGATAGACAAAATTGTCTATTCATTGATAATTACAAAATTATGAAGGGGCAGTTAATTAATAACGACATATTCTTGCTACGATGTGACATTTCATTATTAATAATTTATATTGTTATTGATTACATATTTTTTTTTTCCTAACTAGCATAAAGTTTTCTTTATTGCCACCTTCCCCTACTCCGTGCTATCTCTAGAAACTAGAAACCGTCATTCATCACGTGAAAGAGAGAGATTGAAAGAAAATCGAGAGAGTATAGGAAGAGACTTGAAAAAAAATTGACAATAGAGAGACAGATATGTAAATTGAGAAAAAAAAAACGACGAAATAATAGAGTTAATATGTAAGCACGTATAATATAACTTGACATTAGTGATCCCAAACCGTTCTTAAGAACATTATCAAATGACGTTAATGGTCTATTAGTACGAGATAAGGCGAAGGGTAATTTCGACATTTTGTCATGCAAACTTTAGGAACAAATACGAGAATTGTTTCATTTGATAGTCATTTAATTTTTTTATTATTTAAAAATTAATTTTCACTTCTAAATTTCTTCCTTTTTGTTATATATTTTTTGAAAACATTTTTAAGTTTCAAAATTGAAAAAAAAAACTTTTTAATAATTTATTTTTATTTTTCGAATTAACTTAAAAATTTTAAAAATTTCTAAAAAATGGAAAACTATCATTAAAAAAAGGTACGAAAGAGAACACAAATTAAAAAAAAAAAAAAGAAATAGTTAAGTAGTAAAAAAAATAAAAAAATTATAATATTAGTTAAGTAGTAAGTAGGAGATTAAATAAATAATGGTACAAGCTCCTCCAAAAATCCGTGTGAATTCAAATCTTGGATCGTGCTCGTTTGGGCTTTGGAGCTACGTTGACTCGATATCAAGAAACTCAGTTGACCACTAAACACTGTTTTTTTAGATGTCTGTCTCGATTTCTCGAATTGGGCTCTATTTTTTGTTATAACTTTTTGTTACTATAACCATTCATGTCCAGAATTCAAATCTGGATATAGAATCTGGATTTGATACTCGATGACGTTGACATTTTCCTACCTCTTTTGCAATATGACTATATTATCTACTTGTCTTGATCCGTTTCAAAAAGTGAAAACTATTAGGAACTTACCAACATGGGTTCTGGTGACAGGGACATAACAATCAATTTGAATATAGTTAAACTGATAAATATTAGAGTTGATAAGTATGGTCGGTTTAAATATAGTTTAATTGATAAATATTAAAATTAATAATAAATTTATTTAGACATTTTTTATTGAGTTGATTTAATCAACTAAAATCAGCCCACAAACTCCTTTTTCTTAATTAAAAAAATGAAAATATATTTGGGTATTATCTTTTTTTTTTTTTTAATTTTTTAAATGACATTTGACCATATTTTATTATTTATCACAATTAATATATAAAATATAATTTAGGTTAAAATTTAAAATATATTAAATCTAGCCACTAAATTTGTCATTCTCATAAAACTTTATTATTAAAATTTTATTTCGATAAAATAATAATTAAATCTTGCCTATCGAGTTATTTTCGAACCATCTACAAATTATATCTTTCATAAATCGGATCGATAATTATTATATATATATATAACCTTAAATTTATAAATTTTTGCATTTTGCAATTTAATGATTTTAAAAAAATAATTTTTCTTATTACAAGAATTTAATAAAAAAAAATTCAAATTTATTAATCAAATTAAAATTCTTTCACATTTTAAATTAAAAAAAAAAAGGTCATATTTTGAAAAATGGTGGGAGGGGTTTGTTATAAGGCGGCTGGCTTCCAATTCATTTTCTCTCTCATATTTTCTCAGTCAATAATTTTCCTCTCTCTCTCTCCTTCCTCTCCTTTTCGTCTCTGTTCTTCATTAGCGCCGTCCGCCATTGTTATAAATCCTTCTCTTCTTCCCCGTTCTCCAACTAACCCTAAACCACTTCCATAGCCGGACCTCGGAGATTCCTCATTCCCGTTCGCAATGGAAGTGGCGGTTCCGGTTCTTCCTGTCGACTTCAACTTCGACAGCGCCTGCTCTTCCCCTTACATGACCGCTCCTTCCAGTCCTCAGCGCTTTGGAAACTTCTTCTCCAGTGCTCCAACCTCTCCCTCACACGCTGCCGCATTCTACTATGAATACAAGGAGTTTGGTTCTGGCTATGGCGATGGAAGGATTTCTTCGGCGTCGGATATCCCTTTCCTGTGGGAGGAGATGCCTGGAATTGCGAAATCTGGAGGTGATTGTTGTAGTAGTGTTGCTGATGAGGATTTTGAATTCGATTTCAGTGGACAATTGGAGCGGACTTCTTTGTCGGCTGAGGAGCTCTTCGATTGTGGTAAAATTAGGGCTCTGAAACCTCCGCCGTGCCATCGAGTGACTGATTCGGTTTGCTCTAGTGCGATGTCGCCTAAATCGCCGAGATCGGTGAAAATTGCGCAGGTATAGCAGAAATTCATCGATGAATAATCGAAATAGAACTCTGCTTTCGATATCTGTGTTTTTTCCCCCAAATTTACTGAACATTTCGATATCTATAGGGAAAGAGAATGGTTCAAGAAGTTTTCTCTCCTCGCCACCACCGCCGGAGAGATACAGATCCATTCGATGAGGCTCTCAAGGCAGCAACACAAAGAAACAGCGACGGAAAGCGAGGCAGAGAAAGAACAAACATCTCCGTCTCCTCGCGGTCGTCTTCATCCATAAGACGCAGCGGAAGCCGATCGTTATCTCCACTCCGTGTCTCCAATAACATTCTCATTTCCGACCTAGAAATGCCAGATAAATCCGGCGTTTCTTCCGCCACAAGCAACGACAAACACTCAATCACATCATCATCGGCTTCATTCCTCTCCGCATTCTCGTTCTCCAGAGGACAGAGAAGATGGAGAATCAGAGACCTACTACTGTTCCGAAGCGCATCAGAAGGGAGAGCGACGGACAAGAAAGCTATAGAGGAGATGAAGAACTCAAGCTTCCGGTCGATGGAGAGCCTGAGTTCGGTGTCGAGCTCGAGAAGGCGAGGGCCGATTTCGCCTCACGAATTGCACTACAAAACGAACAGAGCAGTTTCAGAAGAGCTGAGGAAGAAGACGAGCTTGCCGTACAAACATGGCCTCTTGGGGTGTTTAGGATTCAATTCCAGTATGCAGCGCAGTTTCTCCAGAGGATTTGGCTCGCTCGCACGTGCATGAAATATTCCCTCAAATAATTAATTTTATTCAATATTTTATTCCCAATTATACATAAGATTTGCAATTTGTAAATTCATCCATACTAAAATATACCTAAATTGTTTAAGAAATTAGAAAAATGTTTAAAATTTTGGTAATCTTATATCTTAATTTGAATCTATCATCCAAAATTAGTTCATTTTGAATGAATGAAATTATCGTTTTTGTCACAACGGCTAGGAGTATTAATTGATCATTGTCGGCACAATAGAGATAAAGACCAATTTTAGTGCCAACTTTTAGTAGAGGATACACCAATTTGAATATGTTAAACTCGAAAAAAAAAAACGTCATCTATAAATACTCAAACCGCAAGGAGTATTAACCGACCGATAACAAAGAAAGCGTTCGTTGTCATATTTGAAACTGACATTAGCAGATAAGTACGAGGCGATGTTTTTTTCTCAACTTATAAATATTTTCTTTCAACAAACAATTTTGTTATACTCATATATGATATAATATGAATCTGTCTAGATAATTAAAGTACTTTCCTTTTATATTTCGAAGGATCGAGAAGAAGTTAATAAAAAAAATGTGATTATGTTATGATATTAAGAACATATTACGTGAATGTGAATAAAAATTGACATGTGGTATAATGTATAAAAGCATTGAAGGCACAAAGTCTATGGGAGCATATCATAGGGAAGAAAATTGGTAGCCCTAAGCATAAAAATTCAACAAAGTTGGTATCAATGGCTTAGATGTAGTAATTGAACGAGGGGGTCATGGGTATTAATTGCATGTAATATTCATGTTTTTCTAACTCGATGTTTATTATGTTCTAGGGTCGCTATTATCATTTTCTCCCGCTTAATTTTTAAAAATTAGAAATCAATAAATAATCAAATGGACTTGTTTAACTCCGACACCCATATAAATGAATAGTAAATGAAGTAACTGAGACCACATCTAAATAAGAACAATCTTGAAAATAGGATGACTAAGAAATGCTTAAAATAATTGAAAGTCACTATCTATACTAGCGAGGTGCATCTTCCATGTTCGATGACTCGATCATACAAATTTCATGTGAGTGATGACAAAACATCTGAAAGAACTTGTGTTGGCATATGAGATAGTCTTCACTCTTAAGAAGCGAGAAGTAGGTAATATAATCATATTGTAGGAGAATGTTGGAGTCATTACGCATGTTCGTTACGTTAATCTATTCCTTATTTAGTTATTTTGATTTGTTCGAGGTAAACAATAATAAGCAATTTAAAGGAAAAGAAAGGGGGAGAAAATGGAAAGCATGAGCATGATACCATAATGATAAATGATGATATCAATAATTACATTCTAATACATTTGGAGAACATTTTTCAACAATTCTTCAAAAATAAAAATCAAAGAAAAGATCAAATTTGCTAACATATATATATATATATATATATCAATATAAAGTCCAATGGGATGAAACTAAAAGTTGTTGGGCCTAATTTAGCGATAAATGTTGAACTTTCTGTCTCGAAGACATTAACAATTTGAGTAGGCTAGAAAGCAGTTGACAAAAAGAGATGGAACTTGAAACCGCTCAATCGATGTTGGATCTTACGATTCATCTCCGTTTGGGGTCCAATGTTCTCGTTGACATTCGTTCTTCTCTCCAATGGATGTGATATCTCACAAAACAATAAGTTGAAATTTAGAGCGGGAAATAATAATTTTTAAAAAATAGAAATTTAGTTTTTTTTTTTTTTTTGGAATAAAAGATTAAGCAGCCTTATTGGAGCACGCCAAATCATTAACGTGTAGCATTTATTTAATCCCGCCAAACCCACGTTTTTGTTCTTTATTAATTATTAAACTAATTGCAATTATTAATTATGGGTTTTTTTTTTTTTTTTTTTTTTTTTTTTTTTTTTTTTTTTTT